CTTTGGAGCTGTTTTTAAATTTTCAAAGGTTATCTTCTCTACAACTTTTTGCAATACCTTTTGCAATATTGTTGGAGAACTTGGAATGGAATGGGCTTGAAATGGCTTGAAATGGCTTCATACAAGTAGGATTTTCTACTTTGAAACTAGATTAATATATCAAATTGACTAGGCAAATCTATTCCTTCAAACATACAAATAAAACCCTTGCATTATACCTCCTTTTCTCCTAGTTGTACCTTCATCTGAAAATGAAAAAAAAGGTCACTACACAACTCAGCCCCACACCCTACCTACCTTCTCTTAGCCTCCCCTTACATTTATTTGAAAAAAGAAATTCTTGAGCCTTATTTTGCATTCTTAAGTAGTTAATATCATTATTACTTTCGAGCTATTTCTGGCCTCAAAATCAATTTGAATAAACCTGGGTTAGTTGGGATCAGCGCGAACAGTTTGGGGACTTCTCTTGCTCAGGTTCTGGGTTGCAGATACACACAGTTACCTATAAAATACTTGGGTATTCATCTGGGTGCGACATACAAAGATGTTAGATGCTGCGATCCGATTATAGATATGTTTGAAAAAAGATTGGCTGGTTGAAAGGGGAAATTCCTCTCAAAAAGAGGTAGATCGACACTCATTAAAAGCACCTTATCTAACCTACCGATCGATTATTCGTCTGTACTTACTATCCCAGATAAGGTGACGAAGAAATTGGAATCGATTCAATTCAGATTTCTATGGAGAGATGAGGAAGGAAATAGGAGACTTCATTTAGTAAAATGGGAGAAGGTGAAGTGCCATATTGAGGCAGGTGGCCGGGGCTTGAGATCTTTAAGTGTTCTGAACAGGGCTCTCATGATAATGGATCTGGAGATTCTGGAATGACAATGATAGCTTTTGGAAAAAGGTTATTGATTACAAATGAGCTGGAAATGATGGACACGACCAATTCGCTTTGGAAAAAAGCATTTTCGGTATGAGTTTCTGAAAGGCTATTATGCAAGTCAATTAAACCATCTTTGATTGCTCTAAGAATGTGGGTAAAGGTAATAGGGTGCGATTCTGGCTTGATGTTTGGTGCGGGTCTAAAAAGTTTTAGACTCGCTTCCCTATGATTTTTGCTTTCACCCGAGACAAAGACATGCTCATTGAGAAGGCTTTAGGAGACGATAATTGCAGTGATTGGACTATGGTGGTCAACAAGAATTTGCAGGATTGGGAGGTGGATGAATACAGAAATCTGCTACAGCTTTGGCTACTATCCAACTCAGCAATCAAGATGATAAGTTAATATGGAAATTGAAAAAAAAAAGGTATTTTCTCTGTAAAATCTTTCTACAGCTACCTGGATGGGCACAGAAGATTTGATTGTGTGGATTTCTCTACAAAACTGATTTGCAAGGCCCATGCTCCTCCTAGAATTTCACTTTTTGCTTGGGAAACTGTGAAAGAACACATATCAATTATCGATAATCTCATGAAAAGAGGTATAACAATGGCCAACAAATGTTTCCTTTGCAAAAATAGCGCAGAATCCAGCAACCTCATATTGATGTGGTGTCCTCTCACTTACAATCTCTGGTCACTGGTCTATGGGCTCATGGATGTCTGCTGGTCTATGGCTGGGTCTGTTATGAGTGAGTTATTGGCTTGGGAGGAGCTGTGTAAAAGGAACAAATGCTACAGATTAATCCCACTAACCATTTTCTGGGTTATTTGAGAAGAAAGAAACAATAAAGCTTTTAAAAGGAAAAAAAAATAATTTTGTTAATATAAGAATAGATGGTTTCATTATTTTGGTTTCGTAATTTTGGGTCATAACCTTGATAGTTTGGATGATTTTGGCTCCATTATAGACATATTTATTGACTCGTGAATTTTTTATATGTTGGTAGTGCCCCCCTGGCACCAACATATCAATATACATCTTATACTTTTATTTTTTAAAAAATTACTTTTAGCAATTATAGGTTTTTTAGCATCTTTCTTTTCTTACTATTACTTCTTTTTTTTTTTAATTTACCATCACTTTTTCTGGTCATCCTTCTTTATTCACCCTATTAAAGTCATGACAGAAAAATGTATCGATATTGAGACCTCGAAATTAGTTGTCTTGGAACTAAGTAATAAAATTCAAGAAAAAGGCAAATTCACAATTGATGAGAATCTTGAGTTCCCTCTTAAACAGATGGAGCACATGAACATTCGTCTGTTCAAACTAATTCTCTGTATAAAACTAAACGAATGGGTCAGCCCTCAAAGCCTAGAGAAGACCCTTATCATGATCTTCATCTGTGTGTGTCAACCTCCAATGAGGATGAAATCAATCAACTTAGAGATAGACCTAGGCATTGTGAACAACCTAGACAATCCCATCATGGCTTTAGGGGAGGAAGCAATCATCAGAATCTAGAGACTAGAGTGAAAAGATCTCTGACATTTCCAAGTGAGTGAAGATAGATGTTGCTAGCTATAATGATAAACTAGATCTTGATGTCTTACTAGATTGGCTAATCAGCATGGATGATTACTTTGAATAGTATGAGATGACAGACATAGAAAGAGTCCGATTTGCTGAGATGAAACTAAGTAGGTTAGCTAGAAAGTTTTGGCAAGTTGTCCAACTCAATCGTGAGCACTTAGAGGAGTCTCCGTAGCACAATGGAGTGTGATGAAACAGAAGCTCAAAGAAAAGTATTTACCAACCTACTACAAGAGACAATTGGTTGACCAATTACTTAATCTTATACAGTTGGCCTCTAATGTAAGTGTTTACTTATGTAGGTTTGAAAAATTACTACTTACGGTGTGGCCTTGAAGAAGAACCCTACATCTGATACTAGATTTAAAATCAATGGCTTGGGGCATACCTTAAGAGAGAACTCTTGTACTATTCCCCTGATTCATCGGAAGATGCATGTATTAGAGCTTTAGAAGTTGATAAGTACAACAGGAATCCCATAGTCAGCTGTACAAATTACCAAGAGCCTCAACCGACACGGTCATTGGTACAAGAGGACATTCATAGGAATGATGAATCTAGTATCTCCAACCTTTACCTTATGTGCAACTGGAGTGTGAAAAGCTTGGATGCAAATATGATTGGATTTCAGGCGGAAATAATGTAGGACTCATTTTCACAAAAGTTGTGCAGTACTTATTACTTCTATCCTCAATGTAGAATCAAAACATATAGAATTTCTGTTTCTGTTCTTATCTTTTTTCTTTTTTGGTTAGAAAAGTGGTTTTCATAGACCTAGTCATCAGTTTGAGGGAGAAAGATATAGGAGCTATTGGATAGAATATCAAACAGTTTCTATCAGTCTTTGTCAAGCCAGCATATTTTGACTTCTTGTTTATTTTTTTTTATTTTTTTTTATTTTTTTTATTTTTTATAAATGGCAAAAGAAATTATCATTAACAATGTACCAAAAGAATATCAAACAGTTTACTTATCTTTCGATTTACTCATTGTTTCTTATTTACTTAGTTTCATA